GTGCCGCTTCTGCTGCCTTCATGGGCTCTCAAAATGAGAAAGTATAATTCCACTTGATTTTTGTTTGGACCCTCCTGGTAAGGGCTCATTTTTCTGACTGCTTTGAAGATATTTTCCTTATCTTTGGTTGCCAGGGATTTAGTTATAACATGCTGGCATTCAGTTCGTTGGGTTTTTCATGTTTAGAGCTGCCCAGCATTTTGAATCTAGAGGTTGATGTGGCTTCAAGGTTGGGAAGTTTTTTTTTTTTTAAGAGTCATTTATTTATTTGAAAGTCAGAGTTACACACAGAGCGAGAAGAGGCAGAGAAAGAGAGGCGTCTTCCATCCACTGGTTCACTCCCCAGTTGGCTGCAAAGGCCAGAGCTGTGTCAATCCGAAGCCAGGAGCTGGGAGCTTCTTCCAGGTCTCCCATGCGGGTGCAGGGGCCCAAGCACTTGGCCATCTTCCACTGCTCTCCCAGGCCACAGCAGAGAGCTAGATCGGAAGTGGAGCCGCTGAGACTCGAACTGGCGCAAATCTGGGAAGTTCTAAGTCATTGTGTCTTCAAGTGCTCTTTGATTTCTTCTTCCCGGTCTCCGACGCTGTGAATGTTAGATCTGCTGGGCTGCCAAGCACCTGTCAGCTCACATCGCTCAGCACACTCTCTCTGTCTTGTTCACACTTGATCACGTCCACTGTTCTGCCTTCCAGATGAACCATCCTCCCCTCTGCCCCTCGCATTTGGTCGCTGAGCTCATCCGCAGAGCTCTTCGTTTTAGTTACTGTAGTCCTTTTAGTTACTGCTCTCTGGGCTGTCCTCTATGTCTTCGGTTTCTTCGGTGAGGCTTTCTGTTCATTTCAGGCGTGTTTGTAATCAGTTGTTGAAACATTGTCACCATGGCTGCTTTTAAGTCTTTCCCAGGTGATGCTAACATCTCTGTTGTTTCCTCAATCTACCTCTTTTCACTCACTCTGAGATCCTCCTGGTTTGGGGAAGGCAGGATGCTTTTCAATAAAACCCTGCACATTTTCTTATGTTACATTAGAGCCCCTGCGTCTTATTCAAACCTTGTGTTTTAGCTGATGGCCTCTAACAACGACCCAACAGGAGAAGGTGGGCGCCTTCCTGTTATTGCCACGTGATGGTGGAAGTCCGGCTCTGTCTCCACTGGCCCCTGAGGGCAGGGGGCTCCTGGTGGTGGGTGGGGGCTCCTGGTGTGGGGTGGGGGGACAGCTCTGCTCATGGTCCCCAGGGACACCACCAGGGGGTGGCCTTGGAAGTCCTGACTTCCCACTGGATCTCCCTGTTGCTATCTGGTGAGGGTGGGTGTCTTCGTTCCCTGCTTGGCCCTGGCTGCAGTGGCTGTGCGTGGCTCCATAGCTTCAGCTGGAGTGTTTGTCTAAGACACGAAAAGACACTTTGCTGTCTTGCTAGGCTTCTACCTCCTTTTTATTCTGACTACGGAGAACAAACGTCTACTGGGGAGTTTCGGTTGATGCCTGTTCACATTTTCTACTTTCAGGTTCTTCAGACACAAGTCTGGAATCTCTCTCTCTCTCTCTCTCTCTCTCTCTCTTACACACACACACACACACACTTCAGAATGGAGTTCCTGACTCCTGGCTTCAGTCTTATCCAGAGCTGGCTACTATGGCCATTAGGAAAGTGAATTAGCAAGTAGGAAATTCTCTCTCTTTCTAAAGAAATGCATCTTAAAAATAAAAATGGGCCGCTGCCGCAGCTCAATAGGCTAATCCTCTGCCTGCGGTGCCGGCACACCGGGTTCTAGTCCCGGTCGGGGCACTGGATTCTGTCCCGGTTGCCCCTCTTCCAGGCCAGCTCTATGCTGTGGCCAGGGAGTGCAGTGGAGGATGGCCCAAGTGCTTGGGCCCTGCACCCGCATGGGAGACCAGGAGAAGCACCTGGCTCCTGGCTTAGGATCAGCGCGGTGCGCCGGCCGCAGCGGCCATTGGGGGGTGAACCAGCGGCAAAGGAAGAGCTTTCTCTCTGTCTCTCTCTCTCACTGTCCACTCTTCCTGTCAAAAATAAATAAATAAAATAAAATAAAATAAAAATGAATCACTGTGCTACATGAGAGAAAAAAGTGGATTTCAAAACAGCATGCAGGGCCGGCACTGTGGAGTAGCGCGCAAAGCCACTGCCTGCAGCCAGGAACTCCATCCAGGTCTCCCGCAGGGGCCCTCATATTCGGGCCATCATCTGTTGCCTTCACAGGCACAGTAGCAAAAAGCTTGCTTGGAGGCAAAGGAGCTGGGGCTCGAACCAGCGCTCTGATATGGGATGGCTTAACCCACTGCACACAGCAGCCCTTATAAGCAATTTTGTATTATTGCCTTTTATTTTGAAACATTTTAAAACTCAAACAGAGTTGCGAAGGTAACGCTGAGAGACCTCATATACATGTCCCCTAAGTACTCCCAATGATAATATTTTATACTCTAGTATAATACTATAAACTTAGAAACATCATTTATTTTTTATTTTTTATTTTTTTGACAGGCAGAGTGGACAGTGAGAGAGAGAGACAGAGAGAAAGGTCTTCCTTTTGCCGTTGGTTCACCCTCCAATGGCCGCCGCAGCCAGCGCGCTGCGGCCAGAGCACCACGCTGATCTGAAGCCAGGAGCCAGGTGCTTCTCCTGGTCTCCCATGGGGTGCAGGGCCCAAGCACTTGGGCCATCCTCCACTGCACTCCCAGGCCACAGCAGAGAGCTGGCCTGGAAGAGGGGCAACCGGGACAGAATCCGGGGCCCCGACCAGGACTAGAACCCAGTGTGCCGGCACCACAATGCAGAGGATTAGCCTATTGAGCCATGGCGCCAGCCAGAAACATCATTTTTTAAAGATTTATTTATTTATTTGAAAGTCAGAGTTACACAGAGAGAGGAGAAGTAGAGAGAGAGAGAGAGAGAGAGAGAGAGAGAGGTCTTCCATCTGCTGGTTCACTCCCTAGATGGCCGCAACCCAAAGCCAGGAGCCAGGAGTTTCTTCCAGGTCTCCCATGTGGGTGCAGGAGCCCAAGGACTTGATCCATCTTCTAGGGCTTTCCCAGGACAGAGCAGAGAGCTGGATTGGAAGTGGAGCAGCCGGGTCTCGAACCGGAGCCCATATGGGATGCCAGCACTGCAGGCCAGGGCGTTAACCTGCTGTGCCACAGTGCCGGCCCCTAGAGACATAATTCAATTTTGCCAGTTTTATTTTACAGAGAGTTTTTATTTTCTGGCTTTGGATTATCTGAATATATCACCCGTGTGGCAATAAAACGTTCTGAAACGGTGGACTCCTCGAGTGGGGTCTGTGAATTCTCTCTCCTTGGCCTCCTGAGGTCTTTTCTGTGTCTTGAGTTCTGGCTTTGTTTCTCCACGCAGGTCATAAACAGCCTCCACAGGAGGGCTGCCCTTGGGAGGCAGATACGTGGACCAGCCCTTTTCTGCCCTGGAAACGCATTCATTCGGCACATATTTATGATGTGCCTGGTAAGAGTCAATCACTATCGCTTTGCATCATTTATGTATTTTGTTTTCTGTATGTTGTGATGTTGTGGCCTTTCACCTGTCTGACCTTCTCTTGGAGGCTGACCCTCTCATGTTGCCTGCGACATGCAAACGAACACTCCAGAGCCGCCTCACGTTTCCCCGGCCCCAAAACAACTAGAACCAAACCCCCACTACCTCATGCATCTCCAGGCTAGCCACCAGGCAGCTCTAGCTTAGAACTCACTGGAATTCCCCCACAAACAGTCCTGAGCTGGCCGCCATGCATGGCACCTTTGAGAACCTGAAGATGTTCTTAGGCTGCGCTCTCTCGGAAGCACACTCTGGGGAGGGCATCCCAGTGCAAGGGGTTCCTTTGGGAGGTGAGAGACTAGGAGAGGGAGGGCATGGAAGGCAGCCAGTGCAGGTGCACTCTGTGTCCGAGCACTGAAGAAGTGCCTGGATTTCAAAATGTTCTTGCAGCAAAATATACATTATGAAAAATGGCATGATTTTTGCATGCTTTAAGCATGTTTTATGAAAAACTGTGCTTGGACTTTTAAAAACTTAAACCAAATTAAACTTATTTTTGGCTTCCATTTTCCCCACGAATTTTTTTTTTTTCAACTTCTCTCATCTTGTACCCAGCTGTGTCCTGTGTTAACAGCGTTTCCATCGCTGGTGGACCACAGATGTGCTGATGGTCTAAGATCATATGGCCTAGTGACCTCATAGTCACCTCTGTCTGTGTCAGTGCGCACTGTGGTGTTCGCACAATGACAAAATCGCCTGCTGATGCATTTCTCAGACTCTATCCCGTGGTTGGGGCTGGCACAGTGGCACAGCAGGTTAAGCAGCTGCTTGCAAGACCCACATCCGACACTGGAGTGCCTGCTCGACTCCTGGCTGCTGACTTCCAATCCAGCTTCCTACTGATGCACCTGGGAGGCCCTTGGGTTCCTGCCACCCATATGCGAGACCAGCATAGAGTTCCTGGCTCCTGGAACTTGGGCGTTGCAGGCATTTGGGGTCTCTCTCTCTCTCTCTGTCACTCTGCCTTTCAAAATAAACAAACAAAAAATATTTTTGTCAAAAAAGTACCCCATTGTTAAGCAATACATAACTGCATATGTCACTTATCTACCTTTAAATATATATCCTTGGCTGGCGCTGCGGCTCACTAGGCTAATCCTCTGCCTGCGGCGCCGGTACCCCGGGTTCTAGTCCCGGCTGGGGTACTGGTTCTGTCCCAGTTGCTCCTCTTCCAGGCCAGCTCTCTGCTGTGGCCCAGGAAGGCAGTGGAGGATTGCCCAGGTCCTTGGGCCCTGCACCTGTGTGGGAGACCAAGAGGAAGCACCTGGCCCCTGGCTTTGGATCAGCACAGCACGCCGGCTGTAGCAGCCATTTGTGGGGGTGAACCAATGGAAGGAAGACCTTTCTCTCTCTCTCTCTCTCTCACTGTCTAACTCTGCCTGTCAATAAATAAATAAATAAATATATATATATCCTCTATGCATCTCTTTTTTTAAACTATGGAATTCTTCACGAATTTGCATGTCATCTTTGTGCGGGGGCCATGCTAATCTTCTCTGTATCGTTCCAATCTTAGTACATGTACTGCCGAAGCGAACACTATGCATCTCTTTATATATCATCTTTATATATTTTATGCATACAAAGATGATAGATTATATACATACATATTTTTATGTATATTAAGGAATGCTCATGCAATTGTGGGAACTGGCAAGTCTCAAATTTGTGGGGTGGCTAGCAGGCTGGAAACTCAGTCAGGAGTCAGGAGCTGATAGTCTTTTAAAAATTTTTAAAAAGATTTATTTATTTATTTGAAAGGCAGAGTTCCAGAGAGGCAGAAGCAGAGGCAGAGAGAGAGCGAGAGGTATTCCATCAGCTGGTTCATTCCCAGCCACAACGGCCAGAGCTGCGCCAATCTGAAGCCAGAAGACAGGAGCTTTCTCCAGGTCTCCCACACGGGTGCAGGGGCCCAAGGACTTGAGCCATCTTCTATTGCCTTCCCAGCCTACAGCGGAGAGCTGGATCAGAAGTGGAGCAGCCGGGACTCGAACCAGTGCCCGTATGGGATGCTGGCACTGCAGGCAGTGGCTTCACCCACTATGCCACAGCACTGGCCCCCATAGTATTTTTATATTAAACTATGCCCATCCTTTTGTATATTTTAAATCATTTCCACATTACTTACAACACCCCATGCAATGTGAATGCTATGTAAGTAGTTGTTTACTGTGTTGTTTAAGGAATAATGAAAAGAAAAAAAAAGTCTGTTCATGTTTAGCACAGGTGCTATTTTTCCCCCAATTATTTTCAGCCCGAGGTTGATTAAATCTGTGAATGAAAAAGCCCTGGATACAGAGGGCCACTTGTGTGGGGAGGGGAAGGGGAAAGTAATGTCCAGGTTTATGTTTTTAAAAGATCTGTAGACTGAGATACGATAAACACACTGGAAAGGGGCAGAGAGGATGTGAGACCACTAGCTGTGGGATGTTACAGATTGCAGGTGGGGAAGGTGGTCCCCAGGGGAGTGGAGACAAGACAGACTCTTGGGAGTTTCAAGGGACTCAAGCAAGAGATCTCGGTCACTGATCAGGAATATTAGCCGTGGAGTAACGGAATATGTCAAAGTCAGTCCCATTCCAGGAATCCTTATGCTTATTTTAAGAACCTGGTCTTTGAATAGCTGGTGCCCCAGCGTGGACCAAGCAGAAAGTTGCCCACAACAATTTTCTCATAAAAATGACCTTGAGTTGACCTTGCTTCCTGTCTGACCTGTTTCCACATCCCAAGATAACTATTGCATAATCAGAAACCTTCTGCTGAAAACACAGCTGGAAGACGCGGTGTAAATGGGACAATCGTGGGAAGCATGCTCCCGGTCCCTGCAGCAGGACATGCGTCATAACAAGAGCAGGAGGGCTGGGAAATCAGACACCCAGAGCCTGCGACCTTGAAACAGACGCCCTTTACCGTCACAGCGTAGTTGTCCCAAACATCAGGTATCCCTTACGTTCCCACCTGCTTTTTGTGTCACCATCTGTTTTGTCCACTGTGCAAAACAAAGGATGGATTTACCCCTGCATTCTCTGGAGAGGACGGGGACAGCAATGTCACATGAGGACTTTTCTAGTTGTCCTCGGTTTTAAGAAGCCAGGGGTAACGAGAAAGGACCGCTAACTTCAAGAAACCAGAGTTTTGGCCGGCGCCGCGGCTCACTTGGCTAATCCTCCACCTACGGCGCTGGCAACCCGGGTTCTAGCCCCGGTCAGGGCGCCGGATTCTGTCCCAGTTTCTCCTCTTCCAGGCCAGCTCTCTGCTGTGGCCCAGGGAGTGCAGTGGAGGATGGCGCAGGTCCTTGGGCCCTGCACCCACATGGGAGACCAGGAGAAGCACCTGGCTCCTGGCTTTGGATTGGCGCAGCATGCCGGCCGTAGCGGCCATTGGGGGGTAAACCAACAGAAAAGGAAGACCTTTCTCTCTGTCTCTCTCTCTCTCTCACTGTCTACCTCTGCCTGTCAAAAAAAAAAAAAAAAAAAAAAAAAGAAAGAAAGAAAGAAAAAGAAAAAAAAAAGAAACCAAAGTTTCTTCAACTCTTTCCCCAGCACCATGAACTTGGCCCAGGCGGTGATCGAGAATATGGGGACGGATGACTGTGAACAGACCATTCAAATGATGAGAAAGCCAAAATGGAGCTTTAGTGTTCATTGGCATCTCTGAGCTCATAAGGCATGATACACTCAACCAAAGTCTCAAGCTAGAAACCCAAAGGGACTTGTGAAGAATCCTAATGACCCACACCTCCTGGTGATCATGTCCTTGGAGGGTATCCTCCCATACTGTACAATGATCGGTCTGTGTAGTAGGCAAAATAATGGAGCAATGGCCTGATTCCTGGGATTTGTGAATGTGTTACATTGCACAGCTACAGGGGATTAAGGTTGCTAATCAGTTGACCTTGAGATGGGCGATTATCCCAGATGGTCTGGGTTGGCTCTGTATAATCACAAGGGTCCTTAAATGGGTGAGAGACAGGTATAAGAGTCAGAACCAGATGGATGGAGTCATTAGAAAGACTCACTCAGGGGCCAGCATTGTGGCATAGCTGCTTAAGCTGCCGCCCACGATGCCAGCATCTCATATGGGTGCCGTCTAGAGTCCTAACTGCTCCAGTTCGGATCCAGCTCCCTGCTAACGTTGCCTGGGAAAGCATCGGAAAATGGTCCTAGTGCTTGGGGCCCTGCCACCCATGTGGGAGACATGGATGCAGTTCTAGGCTCCTGGCTTAGGCAGGCTCGGTCCTGGCCACTGCGGCCATTTGGGAGTGAACCAGCACTTGAAACATCTCTCCCTCCCTCCCTCTCTCTTTCTCTCCCTCTCTCTCTCTCTCTCTCACTTTGCCTCTCCAATAAATAAATATGCATTTGAAGAAGAAACAACTGACCCAGGCTTTTCTGGTTTTGAAGCTGGAACTGGCGCCATGAACCAAAGAGTGCAGGTGGCCCCCAGCAGCCGAGAAGGCAGGAAACTCATTCCCCCTGCAGGGACTCCAGAAGAAACGCAGCCCTGTTGGCATCTTGAGCTTGACCCGGGCAGATCCATTTTAGACTTCTGACCTCCAGAACCTTAGAATGATGACTCTGGGGTGTGTGTTTTGTACAGTGGTTAAGACACCACTGGGAAACTCGCATCCCATATCAGAGTGCCTGGGTTTGAGTCTCAACTCTCTTTCCTTCCTTCCTTCCTTCCTTTTTTTTTTTTTTTTTAAGATTTATTTATTTATTTGAGAGGCAGAGTTACAGAGAGGTAGAGGCAGAGAAAGAGAAGTCTTCCATCTGCTGGTTCACTCCCCAGATGGCCACAGTATCCAGAGCTGCGCCAATCTGAAGCCAGGAGCCAGGAGCTTCCTCCAGGTCTCCCACGTGGGTGCAGGGGCCCAAGGACTTGGGCCATCTTCTACTGCTTTCCCAGGCCAGAGCAGAGAGCTGGATCGGAAGTGGAGCAGCTGGGACTTGTACTGGCACCCACATAGGATGCCGGCGCTGCAGGCTAGGGCTTTACTGGCTTGGCCACGGCGCCGGCCCCTCAGCTCCATTTCTGATTCCAGCCTTCTGCTAATGTATGCATCTTTGAAGGCAATAGGTGATGGCTCAAGTACTTGATTTTGATCCTTTTCGTCTAGACTTCAAATTAGTGGCATAAAATCAGTAATTTTTTAAAAAGTGTTAATTTCCTCCATATCACTGCTCACACCACCTTTTTCTTTCTAAATTCTGTGCTTGTATTTTCTTTGCAGCTTTCTGAGTGGCCACTTACATCCAGGAGCCTCACCTGGCTGGTCTTGGAGCAGCTTCACACTCATGGCTGCCGTAGTAATTTGGGAACACGAGGCTACTCTTCCCCCATCTCATGAAATACCCAGAAGAGGTAGGAAAGGGGTTTCAATCCTGAAACTAAGTCCTTTGGATCTGAACGCAGCACTCCCTGAAGGGATGCCCCTCGGCAAACCCCTCCCCCCGGGCTCCCCCAAGCTCCGCCCTCCCTCTCGTCCCATGAGCTCGTCACCATCTTCCTCACCTGCTCTCACCATTAGATTGGCTCTAATGATGTTAACCATCAGATTTCTACAATGTTTTTACTGAGGAGAGGATGAAACCAGATGGAAAATACACAAACACAGGGTTTAACATGTGGGCTGGACAGAGGATGTTTGTGTTCACACACACGGTTTTATTAGTGAGTCCTGTCCAATAGACAGTGTTTGGTTTTATTGATTAATCCTGCCATGTTTTCCTTTCCTTTCTCCAACTTCTGTTTCTAATTTTGCACATTTTCTCTCCTGCTTCCTGCTGACTGATGTTTTTTGCTTTTCCTGACTTCCTGACTTGAACGCATAGCCCATTTGTATTTGAATTGCTTGCTTAGTAACACAAGCTTTCAAGGCTAGGCATTTTCCTCTGGGTACCACCTTGGCAGCTTTCTCTGACGCAGCTGATGGCCCCATGGGCACTGGGATGGCAAAGTCTCCTGAGCAGAAAACCCAGCTGTGTCACACTTACTCGTGGGGCAGCCAGGGTCCTCCGGCTGTGACCGAATGTGCCCTCCGGGAGGGAGACAGGGACCGGGTATGGTTCTTCTGGTACTTCCTCTAATGCAGACGTCACCGATGGACCTCATGGGGAGCAGACATCAGGCAGATTCTTTCCTTTCCTTCCCCCAGCCTGGCTGTGGTCCCAGCCCCCACCCCAGTAAGTGCAGTCCTCTGGGGGGTTATTTCAGATCCTATGGGCTCAAAAATGGACATATGTGATCTGTGGATATATTTTTTTTAACATGGCCCAAACTGGGCAATGTTTTTCAGAATTTTGTTTTATGACACTGAGGTATTTTTTTAAGCATTGGTATTGTTTATTTTTATTTATCTGCAAGGAAAAGAAACAGGGAGATACAGGCAGAGGCAGACAGAGATCTGCCATTCGCTGGTTTGTTCCCCAAATGCCCACAACAACTAGGGCCAGGCCAGGCTGAAGCCAGGAGCCCGTAACTGGGTCTGGTTCTCCCATGTAGATGACCGGGACTCAAGTACTTGAACCATCACCTG